CCCAATGTCAGCTTGAAGTAGTTGCAGAAAGGAACACGTCATCCCATGCTCCCTGCCTAGAATAGGTTGAAAGGCTGAGACAAGGGGGAACTCCCTGGCATGGGGGACAAAATAACTACCTATAGTGCCAGTTGATATACCAGAAAATAGGCTCAAAGTTGTCAATGAATGGATTTATTAATATAGTTCTTAGGCCCCAATGATACCTCCTTAAAACCGTGGGCAAGGAGGACCCATGATTTGGTCCTGCCATCGGTGCTTGTGAAGGGGAAAGTATAGGACACAGCCATAATAAGCTTAATAGGAACAGACCACCCCAAAAAAGTTCTTAACTTCCAACCATTATCACCTGCCAGTGTAGGACCCAGCCACGATAAGCTTACTGGAGGCCTGAGTCTCAGGAGTCTACCCTGAGGTAATGCCTGGTTGCAGGAAGGACCACAAACTGAGATTACCCAAGCACCACCCAGGAACAGACCACCCAAAGGAAATCCCTAATGTTCCAACCATTGTAGATAGGACCACCTGCCAGCATACACTCACCAGGACACCCCTAGACAAATGTCAGCCAATCAGGAGTCCTGAACCTTAGAAATCCCTCACCTCACCTTTATTAATATAAAAACCCAACTCTAACTGAGCTTGGGGCTCTCCAATTATTTCAATATGTTGAACACACAGAAAGACCAAGTTTGCAAACTTGTATAAAATGACGACTCTTTGCTTTTATATATGGTACTCAGTCTTCTTGTTGGTTTTTGGGGAACCTCACAGATCTGGGCATAACATGCATAGACCAAGCTAGCCGCTGACTTACAGAGGCTCTACAGCCTCTGCTCCCAAGTGCTGGGGTTGGAGGCTTGGGCACTCAGGCCAGACTGATTGCCCTTTTAATGGAGGGATTTGCAAGTTTCAGAGGGGGACCTTCCTACCGAATCTATAGCCAGCAACTGATGATGCTGGTGTGCTCTGCTGATGATTGGCTAATTACACTGACTTTACCCAATCAGCATCAAAGCAGTGATTCCCCTGGTTCTTAACTATCCTAGCAATGGGTAAAGAGAGGACACAGTTCCTTCTGTGAATGCTTGTCTGCTCCTCCTATTCTGGTCTCTCCTCTCCTTCAGCATGATGGAACTGTGGCTGCCCAGAGGCCCCTGGGTGGCAGCTGTGATCCTGACACTGATGGTGCTGAGCTCTTCCATGGCTTTGGTGAGGGACCCCCGACGTAAGTGCTCACCTCAGGGGCTGAGCTGCTGGGGGTGGGGGAGGGACGGGCCGACTTCTCACTGTCCAGGTCAAGCCCCTTGAATCTACTGGTATTTTCTGTGACCGCCCACAGTCCTCACATGAAATCCAAACTGTTTCCCCAAAGAGGAGTGTGGATGCCTGTGCTCTCAGATCTGTGTGAGAGGCCCCACGTATCAGCCACTGCTTTCCAGTTTCTTCCTGGAGCATCTCCAGCCTTGTGTCATAGTCCTCAGGGCCTGGAGAGGATTGGTAATCATGATTTAAATCAACAAGTCCTGCACAGGACTTGTCTTCATTGTGTTGAGCTATGACAAAGGGGTTTCTCTTTAAAAATAGAATTTCATGTGTGTGTTTGTATTCTATTTTGTATGTATGTTTATTTTATTTTCAACAAAAAGACCAATGTTGAAGTAATTAAAAGATTCCCCTGGAAGTGTCACAGAGTCACAGGAACAGGGTGAGCATCCCAGGAAGATCCCTGTGCATCCTTTGCAGGCCATGAGGCCCCTGCCTGGGCACCTGAGAGGCTGAGCCCAGGACTCTGTCCTTTTCTGTCCCTGACTCCAGCATCTGTGCAGCCTGTTCCTGCATGGGGACTCTGCTGGGTGATGCATTAGTTCCTGGTCTCCTTGGGAGCACAGGACTGCTAAGGCAGCCTTAGAGAGCATGGGCTGTGTGAGTTGTTTCAAAGTCTGTGAGGCCTCTTCTGAGACCCCGGGGCAGGTTAGAGCCCATTTGATGTTTATGATTTGAATTTATCTCTACTTCACTTTCTCCTACCTTCTCCATCCTGAACCGATGGAAAGGACCTGACTCTTCTTTGCATCTTGTAATCCACTTCCAGATTCATGACCCATATCTATATCACACAGGAAAAAATCAAAGTCTGGGTCTGCTTATGGGCTATAAAAGATGGGGTAATTAACACTCCTAAGATGTGACCCCAAATGCTGGGACTGTGGACGAGCCATCTGAGCCCTCCCTGCTTTAACTGATGAAAAAGGGGAAGAGACGGTGGTTTCCATGGAGATGTTTAGCGATCGGGAGGGATGGCCGTGTAGAGCACTGGGAGCTGCTGCCACACTGTGCGCTTCCTCTCTGTGTTGTCATCTCAGGCATCAAAGGACGCAGAAGCTTCCACACGGCCTCTTACCTCCGTGTTCCGCTCCTCAGAGCAGGCGCCTACCCTTGTATCATTGTTGTTATTGAAATTACCTGGAGCGAGTGAGAAGGAAATGCGGAACACGCAACAAACCACTTAGGAGTTCATTAGAGGGGGTGTTACAGGCCTGGGAAAGTCAGTGTGCAGAGAGAGAGAAAGAGAGAAAGATGGCGCATTTAGCTTTTAAAAGAGCCTCGCTCACGAGTACAGGGGCTTGACATGGCTATGTCATACGCAGATGACGGGGTTCACACGTGCCGCAAGGGCTTAGCTGATTCATACGTGGATAATGTAATCCACCATGCACGTGGGTCATGCAAAGCCTTTTAACATCCCCGGGGGCCATTAGGCACTTCTGCCTGAGGGCTTTTCTGCACATGTATGGCCCCTAGAACCCAGAAGTGTCAGCCTTATTGCGACTGAAATCATTACAGTTACGATTCTTGCCACACAGTGTGGCTGGCTCTTCCAGGTTCCAGGGCCGAGCATGTGCGGAGAAGTGCTCAGGCAAAATACTTAGTCACCCCCGGGGACCTTAAAAGGCCCTGTGTGACCTATATGTGGTATGGTTGCATCACCTACTGTATGATGCAGCTATGTAACCCTTGCCATGTATTCATGAGCTCCGTCCTGTGTATGATATCACTATGTCAACCACCTGTGCACATGTGCTAGGCAGTCCTTAAAGGCTGGACACACACCGACGTCACCAGGCCTCTTCACGTGTCTCTAATAAACTCTAAAGCAGGTTGGTTGCAGGCTTCGTGCTTTGTTCTCACTCAGGCCAGGTGATTTCAATTGTCCTCCACACAAACTATTCTTCTTCTGAAGATTTATTTGTTTATTTAATGTCGGAGTGCTCTATCTGCATATATAACTTCATGCCAGAAGAGGGCATCAGAGCCCACTATAGATGGCTGTGAGCCACCATGTGATACTGGTACTTGAACTCAGGACCTCTGGAAGAGCAGCCAGTGCTCTTAACCACTGAGCCATCTCTCCCGTTCCATCAAACTAACTCTTCTGGAACTGTCATTTTCCCTCCGTTTTGTAAAATATAAATCATACCCTTCATTATAATCAGTGATGTCTCAAAACACTGAGATCAGAAATAGATTCGATCTCTGAAACTCTCCAGTCTCTCTCTCTTCAGTCCTAAGTAGTGATGACCGCCACAGGTGTTGTCCACTAAATGCTCCAAACTTCTTCGTCTTTCTGTTCATTCGCGTAGACGGTAATATCCGGTGCTCACATGTATTTGAGTTACTTTTGACAAATCTCTTGTACATCGTCTGAGTTAGAGTAAATATCAAAATGAAAAACTATATATCTGATGCATCTTGCCCCATCCCTATTGAAACTACAGATGCATATGTGACTGACTGACACCCCCACCTGTCCCTGGAGTCACACTTGGCATCTGATTTAAAAAGATCTGGTTTGTGAAATCTCTGGATCTGTAATTTAGATAAAGAATTATGGGTCAGTGTTGGGATCATGGTTTTCATTTCCACAAACTTCTCCAGTAGTTTTCAAAGCTCCATCAACCCCACGGCTTCCGAGTTGGGCTTCTCTTGACCCCACTCTCATCTCCCCCTGCCGCCCTCACGCCCTGTTGCTCATGAACTCAGTGTTGGCAGGAAGTGTTGTCTCAGCTGAGATGTGCCCCCTCCCCCTCTCCTGACACCGACAGTCCCACCCTCTCTTCTGGCTTCATCTGTGACACATCTTCCCTGTCACTCCCCAGAGGTCTTCTCTGTCCCCTCCTGTCACTCAAGTCTTCCTGTTACTGGAACTCCACCCCCTTTCCTATTTGTTCCTCACTCTCACAATTTAAGCTCCAAAGTGGAGGGGGCAGCGTCTGTTTTCCCTCTGTGCATCTCCTGGGTCAGCACAGGTCAGCACAGGTCAGCACAGGTCAGCACTTGACCAAGTGTATGTGACAGGGAAGCCCAGAGGCTGTGGCCCTAGGCAGGAACCATGGACAACAGTGGAATGCTGGGGGTGTGAGAAATGGTCTTCACCAGGGAGGAGCACATCAAATGGTTATCCAGTCCCAGATGGTCAGCCCTGAAAACATACATTCAAGTAACATTGTGCAGATGAGAAGGGTGTGTTCGTGTATTTAGGAAAGTATAAGTATATGCATGTATGTATGTAACCATTAATAACAAAAGAGGCAAAGAGAGCAAGGAGGGGTATGTGGGAAACTAAGAGTCTCACTGGCTGTATAAATCACACTTAGGGGCAGGCCTCCTGCGCAGCAGTAGATGCTCCAACACAAAATGAACTAACTCAAAGACATTCTTGGAGTTCTCTCTCTCTCTCTCTCTCTCTCTCTCTCTCTCTCTCTCTCTCTCTCTCTCACACACACACACACACACACACACACACACTACAGGTCTTTTGCTCATATATATTGTTTTCGGATTTCGTGGCTTTTATTTTATTCTTGTGAGTGTGAATGTGTGTGTGTTGTTCTATACTAATTTTTTCTCTTGTCTTAGTTGCCTATTTGTTTCTAGTGGGAGAGGGAAAGAAAGATTACAGATTTGGGTGGGTGGAGAGGTGGGGAAGATCTGTGGGAGCTGAGGGAGGAAAAACTGTGATCAGAATATTTCATATGAAAGTCTATTTTCAATAGTAATGAAAAGAATATTGTGGGAGAATATTGCTGGCCAACCAACCTCTGCATCCTCTCGGAATCAGGAGATCATAGGTGAGGGCTTAAAAAAAAAAGTGTGGGCACCTCCTCTCCTGTTAAGTCCGGACGTGATAAACTCAATCTGCCCTGTTTAGTTGATATTCATGGGATCCTGCCTTTTTCTGAAGAGAAACTGGAGGAGTGGATAAGGAGGGCGGGGGAGGGACTGGGAGGAGAGGAGGGAGGGGAAACTGCTGAGGGATGTAAAAGAAGAGAGAGAGAGAGAGAGAGAGAGAGAGAGAGAGAGAGAGAGAGAGAAGGAAAGGGGGAGGGAGGGAAGGAGGAGGGAGGGAGAGGGCAAGCAGGAGGCTAGGAATGGAGAACAATCCCTGCCTCTCCTAGGAATGGGGGGGATGGATTTCCCGGAGCTCATCCCTCTCCCTGTTTACACTCATGTCAACTACCAGGACCTGGCTGTGTGTCCTCTGCCCCTTGGGTTGTGTTGAAGTCAGAGGTGGGCTGGGGCGAGTTTGGGTCTGGCCATTTGTGGCCCCTGAAGATCATTCCTGTCTCCATAGCTTGGTTTTTGGAACAAGTTAAACACGAGTGTCGTTTCTACAACGGGACTCGGCGCGTGCGGTTTCTGGACAGATACTTCTACAACCAGGAGGAGTACGCACGCTTTGACAGTGATGTGGGCGAGTACCGCGCAGTGAACGAGCTGGGGCGGCCTGACTCCCAGTACTGGAACAGCCAGGAGGAGCTCCTGGAGCAGAAGCGGTCCCTTGTGGACACGTACTGCAGATACAACTACCAGGTTGCAGAGGGCTTCACTGTGCAGCGGAGAGGTGAGATGTGAAGGCAAGGGGTTGGACAGGGCGGGGAGGGGGTGCGGCGGGGTGGGATTAGTAGGAGGGTGCATACATCCTTGCTTGCCTGTGCAGGAGCCTGCAGAGACATTGAACTCCCTCCTGCTGCAGCCACAGGTGGTTTTAAGCAGCACAAATGGGGCCTGGGCACAGAACTCCTGTCCTCATCAGGAGCTGCAGCCCTGTAAACTCTGATCACCTCTCCAGTCCTGAGAGAATGTGGGTCCAGGAACCCAGAGACACCTAACATCCAGACGCTCAGGCCCCTTCTGTAAAATGAGCCAGTGCTGGCATGTGACCTGTGGACCTGGTCCTGAACACTTTACCATCTCAGGGTTACATAGGATGTCACCCAGTGCCTGACAAAGTTCTGAATTTGGGGTTCTGACCAGTTGTGTTTCTTGACCTGGTCACACAGAATAAGAAGGGAGAAAAAGGAACAGTGGAGGAGCCAGGAAGGCAGCCGCTGTGCCCCTTCAGTGTTAGAAGATACAGCAGAGAGAAAAGCCAGGGAACATGCAGATGTGGGGATGGCTGGCTGTGGGCTCAGGTGCAGCCAGAAGTGTGGTGATTCTGGTTTGGTGTGTGTCCTAGTTAGGTTATTATTGCTGTGGTGAAAACCACGACCAAAGCAAATCGGGGAGGAAAGGGTTATTTAGCTTACAGTTTTATGTCAATATTCATCACCAAACAAAGTAAGGACAGGAACTCAAATGAGGCAGGAGCCTGGAGGCGGGAGCTGAGGCAGAGGTCAGGGAGAGGCTCTGCTTACTGGCTTGCTCCCCGTGGCTTGCTCAGTCTGTTTTCTTTAAAACCCAGGAAGAGCACTATCCATAATGCCTGGGCCTTCTTCCACAACCAGGAATTCCACAACAGAATGTAGGTTTGTTTACAGCCTGATCTTATGGAGGCAGTTTATAAGTTGAGGTTCCCTCCTCTCGCTTCAAATCGACATAAAACTACCCACCACTGTGTGTGGTGATGAGAACCCCATTTACAGAGCTCAAGGTGGAGGGGATTTTTCACAAAACTTGGGAAGATTGTAGAGAGAAGAACCAAAAACTGAAAAAGAAAACAGAAAATGAAGTCTTCTTTAAACTACACTTAAGGGATGGAGGGAGTGTACAGTGACCCCCTATGAGAATGGGATTGTAACATATCCTCACGACTGTTACACTGTGTCGTCCAGACAAAACAGTAAGAGGAGAGGCCTGGCTCCTTCAATTGAGACAGAATTCCCCCCAGCACCACCTTCTGCTGCACGCCCACCACTCTGCAGGGGTCCGGGTGCAGACTGCAGCACAGTCCCTAAACCCTGCAGCACACACACACGGACAGGCCCTGCTGAGGAGACTGTGACTCCCTGGGTAACACACATTACGAGAACATTGACCGAAGATACGGTAAAGTTGATTTATCTAGAGTCCTGCAAAAAGAGATGAGAAAGAGTTCTAAACAAGACTTCCTGCCTCGCACACAGAACTGCTGCCCTCTAGACACCAGAGGAGACAGAACCTAGAGACACAACTTATGTACTTAACTGATGGAGAAATTACCACAGCTGGGGGATAAGCCTTTCTTTCCCTACCAGGGAATTCACCTGCAGCTGGTGATTCCTTCACACAGTGGCGCTGACAGCGAAGTGTGAAAACAGACACTAAGTCCTGGGACAACTTGTTAGACTCTGAGTCCTGCCTGGACCTCAGCCTGTGTGAGTGGAGGCAGACACAGCCAAACTCCAGGGGACAGCTCTGCCCTCATGACTTACTCTCACCTCCCTTTCTCCTCCAGTTGAGCCCCAGGTAACTGTGTACCCAACAAAGAAGCGGCCCCAGGATCACCACAACCTCCTGGTCTGCTCTGTGAGTGGCTTCTACCCTGGCCAGATTGAAGTCAGATGGTTCCGGAATGGCCAGGAGGAGAAGGCTGGGGTTGTGTCCACAGGCCTGATCCGGAATGGAGACTGGACCTTCCAGACCCTGGTGATGCTGGAGACGGTTCCTCAGAGTGGAGAGGTTTACACCTGCCAGGTGGAGCATCTCAGCCTGACCAGCCCTGTCAGAGTGGAGTGGAGTGAGTGGGAAGGAAGCTCCTGACCCAGCAAATCTCCATCCATCAGCAAGGGGCATGCCTTACCCCTGCCTGTCAGCTTTCCTGACCCTGTGAAGCCCCGCCCAACTGCAAACAGGAAGGCTTATCTCTCCCTGTCAGCTTTCTCTGAACTGCAAATCCCCGCCCACCTGGGAGGGAGAATGGCTTACCCCTGCCTGTCATCTCCCTCCCTCCTCCTTAAATCCCTGCCCTCCAGGAAGGGGAGTGGCTTACCCAGTCTGACAGCTCTCTTTTTCCACACACTATTTCTACTGGTTCTGTGCTGTCCTTCCCTTCAGCATGGCTCACAGGGGTAGGTGTGTGATCTTCTACAAGCACCTTTGCCCCTAGGAAGCAGTTATGGCCCCACACACTCTCCTGAGCCTTCCAGTGACATCACAGGCCCAGGACCTGCTTAGCCCTGGCTGCAGCCCCTGCCTATGGCCGGGTTGTGTTTCTGCTGCTGCTCGTGGAGATGATGGACAAGGAACAGCGCAGGGCCATGGCTGAACTCGGGGACGTCCAGTCTCAGCTCTGCCTTTGCTTAGCTTTGTCACCCTCAGGGCTGTGCAGCCTCAGAGCTCAGAGACTTCCTGTCAGCTCAGCTCAGGGTGGCCATATTAAGTCTCTTCATGCTGTGAACTCATTGCTGTTTGATTGCTTCCAAACATCAGCAGGAGTGTTCAATTCCTACTGTTCTAGGAGAAGCTTCTTCCTCATTCTTAAATCTCTGACTCTAGGGGCCCCAAAAGGGAAACAAGATCTGGGGTGAAAACCTCTAAACCTGGCTTCCTTTCTCAGGGGCTCAGTCCTCATCTGCACAGAACAAGATGTTGAGTGGAGTCGGGGGCTTCGTGCTGGGTCTGCTCTTCCTTGCCCTGGGGCTGTTCATCTACTTCAGGAGCCAGAAAGGTAAGGAATGGAGACTGGACCTTCCAGACCCTGGTGATGCTCGAGATGGTTCCCCAGAGTGGAGAGGTTTACACCTGCCAGGTGGAGCATCCCAGCCTGACCAGCCCTGTCAGAGTGGAGTGGAGTGAGTGGGAAGCTCCTGACCCTGCGAATCCTGGTGGTGGCCAAGACTCATAGCATTTCAGAGAAGAGACATGACTTTGTTCTCAGGGTGTCGCTGGTCCTGCGACCTCAGGTTTCAAATATCTCTGAACCCAACAGTCTGCAGATTACTAAAGCATGGTAACAAACGGGAATGGGAAATTTAATGAGATTCTGACTTGAGAAGTCAGAACGAAGGAAGAGTGGAGGAAGAGCCACTGGGCTGCTGTGTGGCTGGAACGTTGAGTCCCTCTGTCTATCTACATTCCCCTCTGCTCTGGATGCTGTGGACAGTGGTGCCAGAGGAATCTCAGGGTGCAGCTCAGAGTATGGGGACGTGCGTCTGGGGACAGATCTGCCTCCATGCCCTTAAGTGTTAATTTTATTCTCTTTTCTAGGTCAGTCTGGACTCCAGCCGACAGGTAACACCCTTCAGTGTTTCCTCAGAGGCAGATCTGCTTTCCCTACAGTGTGGGATGGTGTGTGAGGGACACCAGGAGAAACACTGGGGAAGATATAGATCCCAGGACACCGAGCCTTGTTTCCTGCACTTACTGAAGGCCTGGGCTCTGTATTAGCATTTCTTGGGATTTGAGAAGTTCTCTCTGCTCACCACCATGCTGTCAGGGAGGCCTGAGGGAGGAGAGAGGCCACTGCAGAGTTAGGTCTGGAAACACTGCTGTCCCCTGTGCTCTGCAGGACTCCTGAGCTGAGCTGAGGTGACAAGGCTGAAGGAAGGAGCTCCCCCTGTCTCCATGTCATGAAATTGTTTCCTTCTTGGCTTCAGTTCCTCCACTGACAGTGCTTCCCTAGGACCTGGCTCCTCCTGGTTATGGACCCTGCAGACCTGTTCTCCCTGATGGCCTGTTCAACCCCACCTGTGCCTAGAGTCCCAGGACAGAAGTCCCCTCGCCTCCCCTGCCCTGCTTCCTTTTGTCCCCTGCCCTTTGTCTGAGTTTCTGAGCCAGGTTGCTGTGATGACACTTTCTCACATTTTTTTTTTCTCAAATAAACAGAAAATCAAGATCATCTGCTTTCATAGAGTTTCAAGAAGAAGAAATTCAGAGAAAGGAATGGCCCACTATTAGACACTGTTTGGTCATGATATGAATGGAGGATTGTATATATGTAGTGATTTATAATAAAGTAGGCCCACACTATCTCAGAATGGGGAATAATAAAGGTTTATTTATTTAGGGGTAGACTCACAGAAAAAACAGTTGATCACCAGTCCTCTGTGTGAGTGGGGAATTGGAACTGAATCCAGCAGCCAATGGGTCTTGCACGCCTCTCTGTCTGTATATCTAGTACCTGAGACCACGCCCAAAGTGGGCCAGCATCCCAAAGGCCATTGCCTGAAGGAGTCCACAGAGTTTCCCCCTTTTGTCTAAATAAGAGAATTCCAAACCTAATGTGAAACTGCATACAATAAGAAAAAATATCAAGTATAAAAATTAGAATTATGACAAGCAAAAGCAATATCAACCAAAAAAATATATGCTAAATGTTTCAATAGTTACCCTATCCTAAGGAGTCTAAATCTTATATTAGAAATGACTTGGCTAAGTCATGAGAGGAAAGGAACTATGACTATCTAGTCTTCAACCCCATCAAAGACCTGAGAAAGGAAATAATGTTGCAATGTTTGACTAAAGTAACTGACAGCCTAGAGTAACTGACAGACCATTTTCAGAGGCAGGAAAGTTTTCAAAACCGTCTTACCCTGTATTGGCAACGATTGACAGTCTGTTTATATCCTGCTTGTCCAGTCTGGACAAAGTGCATTTGCAGTGGCTGAGGATTACCTGTCTATGTGGAATACAATCTCTGCGCATCTAAAGAACCTGATTAGTCTAACTATAAGTATGACAAACATGGATGATTACTGGCTTATACTTATTAATATCTATAGATTTAGAGATTAGGACTTCATATAAAATATTAAACCCTCTTTAAACAACTGTGCAGCAAATGAGGACAATGAACTCAAAAGGTAGACAGTGTATAAATATCTTGATCAGAGGTGGAAATATATAGTGCAATATGATAAATATATCCTAAAGTTGCGTTGATACACAAAATATCATAACCAGATATCCATGCATACAATATGGCAAAATAACTTTATATAGGTGCGCAAATATTGTAATCAGAAATAGGAGTATGTTCAATATAACAAATACAATTTGAATTTCAATTGCAAATTTGAAATTCAATATGCAGGAATCTATATCAATGGAAATTGTCTATATAATTGCTCACAAGTATTCTCACTATTATTCACTATTATTATTAGTGTGAATGAGCTCACACTGATCTACCTATTATCTTATCCAATCTTTCTTTTTCCAAAAGAGATCCCTAAGGCTACTTAATTTCCACCCCCAACCCTATAATCAACCAGTAATACATGTCCCTAACCCTGAGGACAAACTTTGTTGGGAGAAGGGACATTGTCTTCTAGAATTACTTCTGTCATGGGATCCTATAAAAACTAAAATGTTGATTAAGTTTCAAGATTATTGTTTGATATAATTGTAGATAGTCTCTGGGTAGTAGATAGGGTTTTTCTGAAGTTCTTGTTTGAAGTTCTGGCCAGAAAGTTGTAAGAAGGTGCACCATCTCAACTAGCCAAGTTGGAATCACCTTGAACAGCTTGTAACCCAAACCGATCTTAAAGTGGTGCTATCAGCATCATGACATAATATCAACCAGGTGGAATCATTGTTGTTGGGCCCCAGTTTCTTTCTGGAGACTTCAAAGATTATTACAGGAAAATTTATTGTTCATTATGGAAAAAATTAAACATTATTCATATAGTCATATATTCAATGAAAGGTACCATAAAAACAAAAATGGGTATGGGAGAGAAGGAAAATTTTTCCAAATTTTTTCTTTCTGTACCATGCCAGATGGCTCCTGATATGAGACAGAAACCCTGGATTTTTCTTTGAACAAGCCAGCTTTAATTTTTTAAGTGAGTTGCAACTTTTATTATATGTAGAACATATATATATATATATATATGTTCAGGTAGTGAAATGTTACCCTGCAGATGATATTGGTACTATAAGTCAGATTTCTCTTTGCTTGGTGAGTCTTTCTGGATAGCTGTCTTTTCATCTTTAGGCATTTAGATGTCCAAGGTATATCAAGTTTTTGAAGATGGGTATTTTCCTGCAAAGACAAGAACAGAACCCTGCCCCAACCCTTGTGAGGTTTCATTACCACCTAAATGATTGTAACTTCTGTGGATGAGTTGTCATTTCTCTTCCTCAAGAGGTTTTTCTTTTTCAAACTGATTATTAATTTTGATGGTATTCATAGCTTTTCTTCTCCTGTGGAAACAAGAGCGAAATCCCTTCCCCAACATAGCACATCTCCTGGTTTCCATTCTGACCTCAACATATCCTTGAGATAAGCTGGTTGATTTAATTCAGAAGTTTTTCTATTATACAATGTTTCTCTGCTGCTGCTGTTTGTTTCTCATTAATATTAAGAAAATTCAATGGTAATAAAATATTATGCAATTTATTTCTGGGGGATTTTCCAGCCCTTTCTGTTTGTTTAACATATCCTTTATAGTTCGATTTGATCTTTCTATAACTTTCTGGTCAGTAGGAATCTTTGGTATACCTGTAATAAGTTTTAGGTTATATTAAGCAAAAAGCTGCTTCATTTTCTTAGAAACATATGCTGGGCCATAGTCTGTCTTTATTTGTGCAGGTGTACCCATGATGGCCAAAACTTCTAGTTAATGTGTGATTAATGAATCAGCCTTTTCCAAACTCAGAGCAGTTGCCCATTGAAAACCTGAATAGGTATCAATGGTGTGGTGTACATACTTTGATTTTTGAAATTCTACAACGTGGAACACATCCATCTGCCAGGTTTAATTGCTTTGAGTACCATTTGGATTACTTTCCACAGGTAGTAGTGTTTGATTATATAAAGAAGTAGGATATTTCCTTATAATCTCCTTAACTTGTTGCCATGTAATAGAAAGCTCATTTTTTAAACTTTTGCTATTGACATGATATTTTTAATGAAATCCTGAGGCCTTCATCACATTTCCAATTAATAATCAATCAATCTATTCATTACCTTGAGCTAGAGAACCTGTCAGACCCGTATGGGATCGGATATGTGTTATGTATATGGGACAATGTTATGTCCTGATTATATCTTGACTCTTAATAAATAATGGAGTCAATTCTGTATCATCTGGTATAAACTCAGTGGTTTAAATATGCAAAACAACTCTTTCTGCATAATGTGAATTAGTAACTATATTGAGAGGTTCTTTAAAATCCCTTAGTACTTTGAGAATAGCATATTAATTTTTGGACAGAATTATAAGAGCTTTGTTCCACCTTACTTAAATCTTCTGATTTGTAATCTGCCTTTCCTGATTTATTTGCATCAGTGTAGAATGTGTGGGCTTCAGTTTTTGTTGTGTCATGTACAATGGGAAGGATCCAAGTAGCTGTCTTTATAAGGTTAATTCTATCACTTTTTGGATATTTGTTATTAATCTCTCCTAATGAAAATTAGCACAAGCTCTTTGCCAGGGTTCATTGTCTTCCCATACTTTTAAAAATTTTATCCCTAGTAAAAGGGAGTATAATCTTGGCTGGGTCTATTCCTGCTAATTGACAAAGTCTAAATTCCTTTTATAATTAATTCAGAGACCTTTTACACATAAGTTTTTAATTTTTTATTCAGTTTATGTGATAAAAAATCTACAAAAAATATATTATCTTTTCTCTGCACTAAAATTCCTGTAGGAGAAATTTCAGAGGGTAATATGACTAGAATGCCAATGTGGGTCAACTATTTCCACATAAAACCTGAGAGATCTTGGGAAGGAATTCTAGACAAAAAGATCTGAGTTAAGCGCAGCTTATTGATAACTGCATTTTTTTCGGATAGGCTCTGTTTTCTGGCAGCAAGCAGAGGCATGGCTTCATTCAGAAATGACTTTCTGACTCAGCATTCGCAGCAAAAACTTCACAAATTCTTTAATAAACAGCAGCCTTCTGGTCCACGCTGGTAGCATGAACTCTGGCTCTTTCAGAAAGTTGGGCTATGGAGCATTTGAATGGGGTTTGTGATCAGAATGCTACAGGTTGATTTATGGTAAAGTGGACCAGCTGTGTCCTTGGGCCTGGAGCGAAGACCATAGCTCATAGAGCTGGCAGTAAACATGCCTCTGCCTTGCTGAACTAGGCAGAGCCAAAAGACAAAGCAACCTTAGTCCTAGCCATGCTTGCTTAGAATTTAAAAAATAATAAAGCACTCCTGGTCACAGAATGATAACAGATATGCAATAAAGACAGATGCAGATATAAAGAAGACTCCTAAATTTGTCACACTGTTGGATAAATTCACGTAGGCTTGGGTGAGAGAAGAAAAAGAACACAGATAGCTTTAAAAAGAAGTAAATGGTTTTTAAATATAAAATAAAGTCATTAAAGAGATAGTAAAAGTAATATAAAAGAGTACACATAGTCATAGATTAAAGAGAAGAAAAACTAAACCACATAAAAATGGAATATACACAGAAAGTCTGGAATATGTATATTATTGTGTTTTCTTAAATTTTTAAACTGTGAATGAACTAAGTACAGAGTCATATTTCATTGTATGGGCTGCTAAGCTAAAACAACATATTTAATTTAAAGGTATCTTGACTTCAAAGTTTGGGTCTAAGGACATGTTGCTTTGGAAAAGAAGTTCTGCAAGTTCTGCTTTTGTTTCCACAGAGGATAGAAAGCTGTGGATTCTTTACTGGCTAATACAGTTTGATCATACAAGACCCCTGAAGCAATGGCCCAGATGGTTCAACATCCATGACAGCTTCAGGACTGTTGGCTGAGATAGACCTACTACACAGGATACCCCATGAAAGACCTGATTAATAGTGCCCCCAGTCAGCAGAAAGTAGTCTAGAGAACAATGCTCAAACTCCCTAAATGATTGTTTAAAAATGTTTCATTACATTTAAAGGGGGATATGCTATAGAGATG